AGAGAGAGAGAGAGAGAGAGAGAGAGAGAGAGAGAACGTATTGTCCGCTATTTCCGTCATTCATGGTTGCAATCCTTTGTTATCCCTTTAAAAAAAAAATTCAAAAGCGTAATATCTCTCCGGAGTCTCAAGGACAGTGGCTCCAATGTCCTGGAGAGTGACATCCGGACCCTTGCCGATGCCGTCCTCCACGGTTGGACCACCAGCAGAGGGGGCCGACTCCCGACACCCGTCCGATATATCCTGTCCGACAGTTTTTCTATTTACCCGCCGGCCCTTTTCCACCCACTTTCCACCCGCCCCCCTTTTCCACCCACCGCCCACTTTCCACCTGCCACTCATTATCCATCTGGCGGCCATTTTCCACCCACCACCCACTTCCTGTGACCCTCGGACCCCAACTTTGAGGCTCTGCACCCCAGGGGGCCCCCCAGCGCGCCGACGACCTCTTCAAAGGCATGCTGCCGCGGGGGGAGGGGGGACGTGCACGTGCACTTCCTGGAAAAAAGGGGGGGGAGGGAGCGTGGAGAATTCGCCAATAATGCCCTCTTACTACTCTGGCGAGATCTAACTAATCAAGTTAGCAGAATTTATTATGCAAATTTGAAAAAAATTATCAATTTTGTTGTGCACTCCCAATACTTGGCATCCTTAAAGGGGGGAGGGGTCGACCCAATTTTTCAAGTGCCAGAAGGATTTGATGGAAAATCCCGGCGTTTTTTTTTTAATTTCTCAAGTCAGAAAAAAGTGTAGACAAGAAAAATCATGAAATTTCAATTTTTTAATTCCATTCTTTTTTGCTGAACATACGAAATCGATTAATTTCAAATGGAAAATCCTTGATTTTACGGAAGTTCATATTGAATAACTAAAAAGAAATTAGTTCAAAAATATTGAAAAGGTAGGGCTAGGTAGGTTTTTACGAAAAAAAAAATGAAAAAGACGATTTTCTATAGGAAAAGCGAAAAATAATAATAATTTGATGTAGTACTTTATCATAGAAGTCTCAAACAACAATAAAATTTCAATAAATCTGAAAATCTTATTGCATAAAAAACAAAAGAATTATTTTTTTAGTTTCCGCCCAAAGATTTTTTTGGGTTTTCCTATCGAAAATCGTCATTTTTCGATTTTTTTCATTCGTAAAAACTTAGGGGAGAGTGGGGCAAAATGAAACCATGGGGCAAAATGCAACAGCGTGACAAAATGAAACAGCCGAAAAACGACTATTTGCCGCAATTCAAGCAACTTTTTTTAAATTCATTTTTGCTTTTGCTTCCGAATGGAAGCTTTGCGATCGTTGGATTTTTCAATTCTCCAATTTTGCTTGGAAAAAATGTAGAATGGTCTGAAATGGAAAAATACGAAATTTGACGACCATGTCTGTTTGTGAACACGTCCACTGCCGCCTTCCCGGTGGTCAACTTGTAGAAATTTGAGTAATAAGGTGACTAAAGTATTTCTAAAAAATCTGAAATTTTGTCAGATTATAGGTCTTACTGAGGACTAACTCTGTGCACAATTTCAGCTCGATTGGTCCAATAGTTTTCGAGAAAAAATTATTTCTATTTGATTCGTTTTTCGTGTATATCTTCAAAACTAGTGGACCGATTCGACTTTTTCTTTTATCAAAATATTCGTCTCGATGTCCTTCATCTAGATCAATAAAAACATATACATCCATTTCTTCAAAGTTTTCGAGATATTTCCGTTTTTCTGTTTTTTCATTAGAATCCATGTTTACGCTCTAACGCTCGCAAAAATAGAAATATCAACTTGAAATTTGGACAGAATCTTCCACTCATGATAACAACGGTCGGTATTGAAATCCGTAAATTTGACGAAAATGGCCAAAACGGTCGGTATTGAAATCCGTAAATTTGGTCAAAATGGCCAAAAATGGCGTTGATTAACATTAATTATACATAGTACGAAGTGAATGTAGATGTATAGCTACATGTTACGCATTTTTCAGTACATAATCGAAGTCATTTTGAGGGGTTTTGACCAAATTTTCGGAATTTCAAGATGAAAAAATTAAAAATAAAATAGATCCAGGACGATGTCGATTTTGAATGACGGCTCAAAATACGTGTTTTGACTATAAGAATTACTGAATTTTTTTTGATCAAAATCAACCGCGTCATAATTCTCGCAATTTGAATTTTTTTGACTTTTTTTGTCGAAAATCCGTCATTACGAGTATCCAGAAATCGAAAAAAAAATTTCACCCAAAATATTCTTATAGGCGGTAGAAAATGGAAAATTTTGACGCCTGAAAAATCAAAATCGGATGAATAGAACTCGAGTTATTTAAAAAAAACGGAAAAAAATCATATCTCCGAACTGGGCTGCCGAAAAAATCTTCAAAAAATTTGAGAGTTAGTTTTTCAAGCCCCCCAATCGTAGAAAAAATCACCATCAAAATCTAAAAGGGTAAGGGTCAGCGGTTGACTCATTTCGCGTGGAATACCTCATATCCACCCCCACAAAGTTTTCGAGATATTTCCGCTTTTCTGTTTTTTCATTAAAATCCATGTACGCGCTCTAGTCCTCGGAAAAATTGAGACATCAACTTGTTTCAAATTACTCCATTCTTAGTCATGGAATAGTCTCCGTTTTTAATGTAATTGCTACGGACCCATTCGGAAGCATACTACCAATGGCATTGGTAGAAATAAAAAAAGAAACAAGCCTTAGTCTTACCGAGCTGCATCGACAATGACGGCAGAAAGTCAATCCCATCGTTCTTCTAGGAGGAATAATGAAATTTGTGAAAAAACGTAATTTTTCGACGTTTTTTCACTAGTTTTATCGCAAAATCTGAAGAACTGCTGAGACGATGTTGTTTAAAATGTAATCACTTCTAAGTGACATGAGAACACATCGATTGCGTGGAAAAAAATTTCAATCGAATCATTCGTTTCAAAGAAATCGTTGACCCAAATATTGGTCAAATACGCACACACACANGGTCCAGGAATCGGAGCTAAGTGACGCAGCTACCATGAAGGAGAACATGTGGAACAGGCATGAACAGCTTATTGCTGACCTAGTGAGCTACATGAAGGAGAAGAGGAGCATCAATGCTCAAGCCCGGGAGTTGGTGAACTCTATCAGCACCTCATCTAAACGGCTGAGGCGACTGGGCGGACAGGCAGGGCAGACCGGACCAATGCTGGTCACACCAGCATCTTTGCTTTTAGGTCGAACGCGGACGCTCTCTGAAGGCACCGCGACCTCGATGGACTCGGAGTTTGAGGATGAGAGCTTAGCTCTCTCTGACAACAGCAAGGCTTCCAGGATGAAGAGGAAGTCCCGAGAATCACCACCGAC